TGACCGCCCCTCTCCCCTCGCAGGCCGCAGCCGCTCCTTCCGCCTGAAGCTGCCGGCCCTGCTGGCTCTATCGGGCAGCAAGCAGTCGCTGCCTCCGGAGCCGCCCGACGCCGTCATCGTGGACGTCTCCGAGCGCGGCGCCGAGCCGAGCAGCTCCTCTCTGGACAACGGCTGCCTGGGCTGCGCGCGGCCCGAGGACCAGCGGGCTCTGATGGAGCCCGAGGACGGCGACGCTCCCCCCGAGCCCCCCGTCACCCACTCCTCGCCCCTCGCCGAGCGCCTCCGCCCCGCGCCCTTCTCCGACGGCAGCCTGGCGCGCAGCCGCTCGAGGGAGAGCTGTCACAGCGTGCGCCGCGCCTCCTCCGTGGATGACATCGAGGCCATGAGGGGAGACGGGGAGAAGCGCTGCCACAGCCGGCACGCCAGCGCCGGGACCGGAATGCACCGCGGAGCCAGCACCGGTACGGGGAGGGGCGGCGGAGGACGGGGGCAGCGCCGGGCCGGGGCCCCGTGGTGGTGGGTCCCACAGGCGGCTCCGAACGCCTCGCAGCTGGGTGTCCCACGGCACCCCGACCCACGTCTGGGTGCTCCACAGCTGGAGGAGCTGCGTCACCCCGGCCCACATCTGGATGTCCCCTGCCACCCCCCGCCACGATGCCCACATCTGGATGCCTCACGTCACCCCGGCCCGCACCTTGACACCCCACATCCGGCCTCACACAGCTGTGTGCCCCACACCTGGATCTCCCGTGTCGCCCGACCCCACACCACGATGCCCCACAGCTGGCTGCCCGTGCCTGCGTGTCCCACATCTCCCTGCCTCCAACCTTGTACAGCCCTACATCTGGCTGTACACAGCTGCCCGCCCTACGCCTCCCTGCCCCACACCCGGTTGCCCCTCATCACCCTACCCCACATCTTGACGCCCCACATCTGACCGTACGCATCCACATGTCCCACATCTCCTGGCTGCCCCGCACCTCCAGGAGGACATCTTGCTGAGCTCGTTAGGCCCAGCAGCTTGTTAGGCTGCAGGCAGCTCCGCAGCTGTCGGTGCTTCGTTAGCAGAGCAGCGTTGCCCATCACCGCTGCGTTGCACATTGCTGTAATGCACCGCACTGCCCACAGCTCCAGTTTGGGCCCCGCTGTGCCTCCCAGCATCGGGGATGAATGGTGCCCACATGGTGCCCCGGTGTGACCCCCGGCCCCATCATCCTCCCGGTGACAAAGGGAGGGGACGGCCGCCTCGTTAAGCCGCTGAGCTCATTAGGAGAGGGAAATAATTACATTAGCTGTAAGCAATACGGTGCCGCGGCGGGTGAGGGCTGACCGCGTCCCCCTCTTCTCCCCTCCCACCCCAGGGGCCATGAACAACATCCGCAGCACTCTGCTCAACTCCACGTCCGACTCCGACCTGGTGAGGTACCGAGCCATCAGCAGGATCCCGCAGATCACCCTCAACTTCGTGGACTTCAAAGCTGATGCCTTCCTGGGGGCTCCATCCGGAGAGAAGGAGATCATCGCCCCCACCAAACTGAAGGACCGCACGCACAACGTCACCGAAAAGGTCACCCAGGTGAGTGGGGGCACCGAGGGGCCGGGGAGGGGGAGGACATGGGGTGGTGGTGGAGCTGATGGTGATGCTGGAGCTTGCGGTGATGGTGGGTCTTATGTGCTGACGCCGGGGGCTGAGGGGTGGTGATGGAGGTGGTGGGGTGATGCTGGATATCGTGGGGTGATGCTGGAGCTGATGGGGTTGCAGTGGAGGTCGTGGGCTGACTGTGGAGCCGACTGTGATGCTGGAGCTGGTGGGGGATGCTGGAGCTCACGGGGTGATGCTGGAGCTGATGGGATGGCAGTGAAGTTCACGGGCTGATGGTGAAGCTGATGGTGATGCTGGAGCTGGCGGGGGATGCTGAAGCTCATGTGGCGATGGCGAGGCCGTGGGGTGGTAGTGGAGTGGGTGGGGATGATGGTGGAGCTCACAGGGTGATGTGGATCTTATGTGCTGACATCGGAGGCCGTGGGGTGGTGGTGGAGGTGGTGGGACGATGCTGGAAGTCATGGGGTGGCGGTGGAGCTGATGGGGCAGCAGTGGAGGCCACGGGCTGACAGTGGAACTGGTGGCGATGATGGAGCTGGTGGGGGATGTTGGAGCTCATGTGGTGATGGTGGAGGCCGTGGGGTGATACTGGAGGTCATGGGGTGATGTTGGAGGTTGTGAGGTGATACTGGAGGTCATGGGGTGACATTGGAGGTTGTGAGGTGATGCTGGAGCTCGTGGGGTGATGACGGAGCTGATGGGGTAGTGGTGGAGGCCGTGGGATGGCGGTGGAAGCTGTGGGGTGATTCTGGAGCTTGTGGCGATGATGGACCTTCTGTGCTGACACTGGAGGCCATGGGATGGCAGTGGTGGGGCCGCGCTAGAGGTCATGGGCTGATGGTGAAGCTGATGGTGATGCTGGAGCTGGTGGGGAATGCTGGAGCTCACGTGGTTGTAGTGGAGGCCGTGGGGTGATGCTGGAGCTCACATGGTGATGGTGGACCTGCTGTGCTGACATTGGAGGCCGTGGGGTGGCAGTGGAGGTGGTGGGGAGATGCTGGAGCTGCTGGTGACACTGGGGCTGATGGGGTGACCCACTGCCACCCTGTGTGCCCCATGTCCCCAGCCCACAGCTCTGAGGTGTCCCCTCATGCCATGTGATGCTGTCCTGCGCCTCCATGCGTGATGCTGTGCCCTGTCACACCATCCGAGCCACACCACAGTGGGCCATTCTGCACTGTGCTGTGCTGTGCCACGCTGTGCCGTGCCATCCCATGCCATGCAATGCCGTGCCATACAATGCTGTGCCATGCCATCCTGTGCCATGCAGTGCTGTGCCATCCTGTGCCATGCAGTGCTGTGCCATGCAGTGCTGTGCCATACAATGCAGTGCCGTGCCATCCCGTGCCATGCAGTGCCGTGCCATCCCGTGCCGCGCCGCCAGTTTGTGCCGCACCCCTGGCCCGCAGCGCCGCTGATCCTTCGCACGTTGTGTAACCGCCATCTGGCTGCGGGGCGAAGGCGGCTGCTGCTGCTGCTTAATTACGCCCTGATCCCGCTCCCGTTAATGAAGTTAGAGCCTCCGGGGCCGCGGGCCCGAGGGACCGCTGTGCCCGCCCCGCTGCGGGGTGAGGGGGGAGGGACGCGGGGTGGGCGCAGCTGTGCGCTTGGGGTCCCCGAGCGGCGCGGCCCCCCCCGGCCCCCCCGGCCTCGCTCCTGCCGGCCCACGTGAGGGCCGATGGGGACCGACCCCCCCGGGAGCCCCCGGCCCTGCTGTCGGCTCTGCCCCCTCCTCCTGCCGGTTGCGCGCCCGTTGTTGAGCTGTGAGGGGGCAGAGGTCTCTCTGGGGGCCGGGGAGGGGGGGGGGGGG